AGGTATCCAACACATGTAAACCTGATGTTCTAAAGACTCTTTTGTCCTTAGACAAGCATTCCAGTGATTCAAACTGCACTGTTAGATGGTATTTTATTTATTGAGCTATATTTTAAGCTAATTTTCCTGAAAAAAGCATTGCATCACTTGATCCTCCAACTCTACAGAACTACTTCTTCTCACAGAGGCAAACTATTTTGCCTAAAGGACACCATCATAATCAGCCTCCCATATAAGCACTCACCAGTGCATTAGTTTTTACTGACGTTTCAAAACTTCCTTTGTAGAAACTCCTCACCATTTTCTGAGCACTCAATATTAGACTCTGTAGCAGATGTAAATCGCACAGAAACCACCTTCATGCCAATGAACTCTCTTCCAGTGTAACGTAATCCTCTTTCTTTCCCCACCCATGAGTAGCGTTGCATGAATACATTAGTCTTCTACACCTCACCTGTTAAGAAATCTTTTTACATTCCTTATAAACGAACCTAGCTGGAGAAGCAACAAATCATCCGGTGTCCCAGTGGCTCAGCTGCATCCATTATCTATCCTGTACGGACCTACAATCACCTTTATTTGTCCTTCTTTTCTAAAGGTGGAGAAATTTCTATGAACAACACAGTTGACCTCTTCAGGAATTCAGAATAATGGCAGCAAACACATGCTTGGATTGGGCAAGGAGTGCAAATCCAGCTCATTCGTTACAAATCAAAATGAGGGAGTGTTGGGAAGGGGAAAAACAACTGCATTTTCCTCTTCCAGTTGCCCCATCACCCTTAACTGTTTTAACACCACCCTAACGTTTTCATAATTCCAGCTACTTCACTGCTGAAAATGTTCTTCCCTAATTTGAACAATGTAATTTATTCTGGGCTGGAGCCACCTCTTTGTCCAATGATACTCCACTAAACTGGATAATCCTCAAAGCCTTATGAACCTCAGGCTGCAGTTTTTAAGACCCCATGCAAACACCTGTGGAATTTGCCCTCCTTTGAACATCTCTGGGGACTATATCCTCTCCCAACATCCAAATCCCATGGAGAGGCTGAAGACTAACAGGCTTCACCTTGGGTGTCCATGCTCTGTCTTCATCCCAATATAAGCTTTGCTACAGTGCTGGGTTCTTTTTAACAATTATCCTGTTCATTAAATCTCTCCTTACACCATGTTATTCAAATGCTTCATTGCCTAACTTGCCACAACTGTGGCAGAAAAAAGAGCGTGTAAATATAAGTTACGTGAACGCAACACACAAAACCTCAGCACTACCACCTTAGTCGTCACTTGGCTTTGAACAGTTACCGACAGCAGAAGATTACTTACTCTCCCCTACCTCATGAGCAGATCCACCGGAGAGATCTTCAGAGAGAATGAATTGTTGCGTTTGGTAAATCTGTACAAGATATTTAACACACCTTTCATTTCTTAGTGTTCAGGATGAACTAAAATAAAGACCCAAAAGGTCCAACAAGCTATTCCTGCTCACAGGCAAAGGTCATTTTAACCCGTCTTACCTGTTCAGAGGGCGAGATGGGGATACAGTGCTTTGGTTAGTGAGTTTTAGGAGTTCTGCTCTCACAGCAGCCAAAAGTTGCTTTGAGCAGCACATTAATTTCACATTTACTTCCTTTAAGTGAACAGAACAGCAGGATAATAGCAAGACCAGAGCCTTTAAACACTCAGGCTTCGGTTCCTAGCGAGGGTGGATGTCCTCCTTCCCTTCTGATGCCTGACTGCCATCCTGTGGCTGTTTCACAAGGTTCAGGTTCCAGGTTTTAAGGCTGAACTGTGAAGCCAAAGGGCTTCCACTAAATGGCAAATTTGGGGCCAGTGGTGGTATTCCAGAAAGGTGTATCCCAGTGCATGTTCGGAGCACCTGAAAGGGGTTTCGGACTTGCATTTGAATATTGTTGTAAAATTTCAATATTAGAAGTCTCAGGGTAATCTGCCACTGTGGACTCTAAACAGCCCAGAATAATCACAGGAACCGGAGAAGTTGTCATACAGCTTACTTCTCCTCCTGAGTCATCTTGCACCTGAAGAACTTCTGGCAAACTCCACATATGCAGATCTGCTTCTGTTGATTCAGGTCCCCTTTTGGTCTTACCCTTAAGGACTGCGAATCAGTTCCTCACGTTATTTTTCCAGGTTAGTCAGGCAATTGGTTTGTGGCATTGTGGATGGTTCCTCTTTACTGTGGCAGAGAAAACACAAGAGCCTAACCCTAACTCAGACACATTATTCTCTCCAAAACTGTTAACTCCTAGATCATCCGAGCCCTGGGGCTAGCTTAAATTCATTTGAATTTTCAAAATTAAACATCCAGATAATTTAATGATCTGACTCTGGGCATTCAAAAAAAAGCCACTTGCAGGGCAACACCAACCGCTTCAACATTGCCAAACACTTATGGCCCGCTTGACCTACAAGTGGCATTTTTTCTACTTACCTCATTTGCCACAATCCGTCTGGGAAGTACTTCCAAAGCTTCATGAATGGAGCTGAAGTCTAGCTGTCTGCCTTCAAAACACGTTGGAAGTACTTGCACTTCTACAAAGTATCTCCACAGCTAGAGCACTAGCATCCAGCAACCGGAGAAGCTTAGGCTCAGTTCCCTCTTTTGTCAGAGATGATTGAAAACTTGTCCTGACAAAAGAGGAGGAGTACCTTCCTTGCCTGTTGAAACCATTCTAATTGCATCTCCAAATTAAAGGTTCACTGGACCACAGAAAGTGAGCAGGAGCAAACTTCATTCTCAAACCTGGCAATTATGGCCAAAAAGTGAGATGGAAGCATTCTGGCTGTCAGCACAGCTTACGTGGTTTTACCCAATGGACAAAATTCAGAGTTGTGAAGCTTGAGTTAGGCAGATGGAATGCATCTAGAGGACATTTGAAGACTGCCTTGTCCTCGGCGTTTTATCTCGCCTAACTTACGCAGCTCCCCACTTGTCCAGCTTTCTCTCTCTGTATGAAGAGCCTCGCCTGGGGGATTCCCTTATGGAGTCGAGATGCTCTCCTCACTAGCATAACAAGACTTGTGTCCCTTTGTGGCTTAGGGTCAACACTCGGAGGCCAGAGGGAACTCCTGGCAGTGCCACTGAAGTTTCACCTGAGAGCTGATAGCCTGTTGAACGTCAGTCCTTACTGACCAGCTCTTGCTTTCATAAAACACGCACACCTTGCTATATATGAAGTAATGCAGCTTCCAGAAGACAGCAGTAGCTCATTTTTTCCTTTCCTTCTCATCTTGGAGGAAGAACTAGCATATGGTTTAGTTTTGGTAGGATTCATTTTGGTTTAACCATTTATACTGCATACTTCCCACAAGTAAAAAAGAGCAGAGCTGATTTCTTCCCTCCAAAATACAAATGCTGAGGGGTTGATGACAGTTCTCTCTCTGCAGCTGTGGACAGGCCTTTGTCCCACACTTTAGAGAGTGCAGACTCTTGCGCAGACATATTTTACTCTGATGACAGCAACCACTGGTAAGATAAGGCGTTTTATTATTAGACTTTCCTCCATCAACAGTTCTCATAATAAGAGGGAAACAAACGGAGTAGGAAAAAACAAGGTAAAGAGTCAACTAAGGCCCATTTCCTTTATGGACTTTATCAACAGGTACCAATGACTTAGTGATTATTTTATTATTTCCATGACAATTTTATTCTGTGCTTAACAACATTCTTGGCCTGGGAAGACGCATTTCTTCCATTCCCTCACAAGCCATCCTCCTTTAGGATGTTAATCAGAAAAAGCACCACATCCTCCTCAAAATCAACTCATCCCTCCTGGAGATTAAGCCACCTGTAACTGAGGTAACAGGGTGATGGAGCCATCTTCATTAGTGCTACACCAAGTGCTGTATCCTGGTTTGGCATCTGCGACACTGGTGTAGTAAATGCAAAGACACCAGGAAATGCAGTAAGGCTAACGAACACTCCAATGAATCAGGCAGTACATGCCCTCTTGGCACATGTTTTGAAGGCACATCACCCAACAGAGAAAGACCAGCAATGTATTGGCTGACACGTGCCTACGCGTATGCAGCCCGCTGCTGCTGCTGGTTAAAAATTTAAATGCATTTAAACAATACCCCAACCCCTAACGCTTTTGCACCTTCACTAAATTCTTCTGCAGCTCAGACAGGAACACCTCCTGCTCCATGGGCCAGAAGTCATCAGTTCTCTCTGCTTAACAAATCAGCCAAAAAAGAGCGAAGCTTCAGGTGACCACAGACTGACTCCCTTTTTGCTTCCTTAGTCACCCTTGCAGGGATCCCCAGTATGGACGTGCCATATTTCTGTCTCTGACTTTCAGTAACGGGTTCAATAACACTCAGCAGTATGGCAATCACTTGCAGACCACCTGCAGGGACTCCAGGGGAGGTTACCAACAGGCAAACAACCCAGAGGCTTTCGCCACAGAAGAGACGCGAGGGCAGCACTCCCACAGAGTATGGCATGCCAAGCTCTCACATCTACATGTCTGGGGACTAACCTCCACTTTGCTGTTTCTCTACCTCAGTTAGGGCTCTAATGAGCTCTTTTTCATCATGCTTGTTCCTACAGAACTGCTGCCTGCACCTTCTCTACTTCACCCACATCCATACAAATTGGGTTGGGCTCTCATGTGCTCCCCACTGCCCCTTGGTTTGGGCACTTCTATTGCCACTGTTAATTACATATAGGTATTTAAAAACACTGTACCTACACAATTCCTTGTTGCTTCTACACTTCAACAACTCCCATGTTCTTTGATTTCATACTGTCTCAGCTTTCTTACTGCATTCATAAGAGCCAACTCACAAAAGCCTATGTTAGGTAAGAGACTTTCCTCCTATATATTCAGCAAATGAAGTATCAGCAGACAGAAAGGAAACTGTTCCCAGCCCCCAAACTGCCTCCAGCTTGGTGGAACATAACCTCCTCCATTCAGTTTTTCCCCATAACTCAGCACCAAAGAGGAATGAAAGAAGCACAGGCAGAATTAAGAACGTGTCTTTTAAAAAATCGTATTAATCACATCCATCAATGGAATTAAGCGCTGCCACCTCCCCACCTCTGGCTTAGCCAGTTCTTTCTCCTTTGTGCAGTATCTTCATGGTGACTACCACAGGCGGCAACAACGGTGGGGAATTCCTCCAGAAGGATCCACTGCTGCTTATTTATGTAGATAGGCATCAAGCCAGAGCTCCCCTGAATCTTTCAAAGAGCTGCCAAGAGAGAACCACATTTCCTTAGAAACAAGGTAATGAAACACAGCGTCCACGGAGCAGAACCTTGTGGGAAGAATTCCCATCTACAGATTAAGCGAAGGAGATCACTGAATCACAGAATGGTTTGGGTTGGAAGAGACCTTTGAAAGCCATCTGGTCCAACCCTCCTGCAATAAGCAGGGACATCTTCAACTACATTGGGTTGCTCAGAGATCTTCAGAGGCAAGGCAATGTAGACCACGGCTCCTTGGAAAGATGAAGAAGAACCAAACCACTGGGGCTATACCAGACAAAGACTGGAAAGCTAAAGCAAACAAGTTAATTAGAATGAGCAAGCAAGGCAGAAGAGAGCCACATGACTTTTCAATGGAAGAAGATATATCTGGGGGGCAAGAAGGGGAAGAAAGGAAGAAAAAAAGAAAGAATGAATGACAGATAAAACTCATCTTGCTCTTCTCAGAACTTCTGTGATCCAAGCTGGCTGCCCCTCCCCTCCCGTCCGCTCTGTAATATCGGAAACCCCTTCACTTAGGGAATGCAGCAGGTTGATACATACTGCACTATGTCCGCAAAGGCGGTGAGCAACGGCTTGCACTGGTACTCAATGCCATGTTTGGCACAAAGGGACTTCACCAAAGGAGCCACCTTCCAGTAGTTGTGTCGCGGCATTGTAGGAAAAAGGCTGTGGGAAAAGAATATGGTGATTCGATGGCATCTGTCATCACCCCACAGAATTCCTGCCCCTCTTCGGTGCCTGAGCCTGGGAACGCCTCAGCCTCCCCTCATGCCCATCAGTGCTCTGCAGTGGTCCCTCTCACGTCACTTCAGTCAGCATCTGCACTAACCAGGAGGCTGGTAATTCTCATGCCATGCTACCTATACCCGAAGTGGCGCTGGTTTTCATCAGTGCTCTGAAAATTACTTGACCCATCATTTGGAGTTCCCATTCCATCCCCATAGAAAGAGCACAAAATTTACCCACATTATCTTTTGTTCTTATATTAGCTGACAGAGAAACAGGGACCTTGTAGGCTCTTCACACCTAGTGTAACCAGCACTCCTTGACATTCCCTCATCTCCCCAGCCCCTGCTTCAACTCACTGGTGCTCAATTTGGAAGTTCAGATGTCCACTAAACCAGTCATTGAAGAAGGACTGATGAACATTACATGTTGCCTGGAGCTGAAAGAAAAAACAGTAACATTTAAATGTTGTTTTAGGAATGCCCCTTCGCTTACATATGCCAAACACAACAGTAAGTAGGTACAATTTTCTTATCATCACGTGCCTTCTGGCTGAACACAGCAACTCCATGAGCTATCTCCAGCCAACACGAGATGGCCATGCTGTGATATACGATTGTTAAAGACATAATTTAGGAGAACAGGCTTGACTTCCCCAGTGAAATAAGCCGTAACAACCACGACTTTCACCTCCCTCACTTAAAAAACTGTGTAGTGGCTTCAGAACTACAGACAGAGCACACGAGAGAGATCTGCATCCTTCATGCACAGAAAGCTCTCTATCTGAAGAGCGCTGTAGCATCTCTAATTATTTTCCTTCAGGCATCTGTGCTCAGCATTGGAAGCCTCCATCCCACTTCTGCACCTTCTTTCTTTGCACCACTCACAAGCTGCTTACGTCTTCCTCACTTCTGCAATCATCTCTCTTGGGCATTACGTACCCAAAACTATAACTTCTCTACTTTCGAAGCCACAGGTCTCTGGAAAGAAGGTCTTACCTGGGTAGAGAACCAGTCCACATTCTTATCATAATCGATGTGCATCGGGATGTGATTCATCTGTGTAACCCAGACAAACCAGTTGCTCTCTATAAACCTGTGCACACAAACACAAAACCATCACTGATCTCACGCCTATGCCATAACAAGCCAGTACAAAACACTTGTACACACACAAGCTAGTTGTTGCTGGACAAAATGAACACCAGGAACCCCAAAGATCGGACCAGCAGATCAGACCTTCCACCTTCGAAAGACAGATGCCTGACAGACAACAACCTCTGTCTTGCTGAAGGGGATAAGGGGACAGAAGAATAGGGAGCCAACGAGGAAGATAACCAGGAGGCTGACGGAAAGCTGATGTGAAGGGTTGATGGGAACTGGGTAAAGAAAATGGGGGAATTATAAGTTGAATGATACCTGACTAACAGATGAAGCCCCAGGATGCCCTTCACCCCCAGTAAGGGCAAGTAGGTGAGAAAGAATCGGATGTAGAAGGTCAGCATCCATGCCAGGTCCTGCAGTACAGGGAACAGATAAAACTTCATTAAGAGGAAGAATTATTGGCTTCTGAATTTACTCTGTGGCACTCCCTTTAAAAACTTCCCCTGACACCTTCTACGGATAGATTTTTCCTCCCCAGCCCCACCACAAAGCAATCTGTTACACAGCCACTCCCCAGCCATTCCTGTGCTCGGGAATTCTCCTCCTCTTCTGAGCCCAGCACAGGGCAAACACTAGAGAGGACATGCTCTAAAGCATCACGTTTTCCTCTGGATCCAAAGAGAAATAAAGCAGTGAGAGAACCAAAAACCTCACCAACTGAAAGAACAAAGAACGCTGGTTTACATCCATCTCATCATTTATTTTGTTCCTCTTCATATTTCCTGCAATCTCTTATTTCCCTCCTGTTCACTTTCTCCTGACTGTCCCACTTCCCAGCCAAGAATAAAACCGCAAGATGCCTTGTCTCTAACCCCCGCATCTCAGACGAGACATCTTTTTTCTGCATTTCTCCTAAAGTCTCTAAAAACCAGGCTATTCCTCAAAGTCCTAGATTTTCCCCTAACAAACTATCTTCCTAACAACTCTGAAAGTCTACTACACATCCCCTGCTCCACTCCACACTGAACTGTGAGGCTTCAGTTTTAGGCCACCTGAAATCTACTTGATTTTTAATGTACCGTTTTGCAAAACAGAGGTGCACTGAATCCTCCTCCGACCCCCCCCTGCTTTCTGCTACTTCTCCTCTTTTTCTGTGCCAGTAAGTTTTTATTGTATTTGTTTTATTGTATTGGTTTAGGAAAACAAACAAGAGTGGTCAGAATGCCCGTTTCTACCTTAAACCAGACTCTCACGCTACCTGAAGGACAAGCTCTGTATGAACATCACCTCTGCAGCAGACGGAGTGCTTCCAGACACTCGCACACCTTGGACTGAGGCAGAACATCAGAGACATTATTTCCCAGACCATATCCCCACACCCCTTGCCTCAGAGACACACAGCTCAGAGTTGCTCCCAGTAATTTCTTGTACTGAATTTATCTGTCAAAGAAGAAGTAGTCACCATCGGCAAGGCGGAGCTGACTTACCACCCACTGTTTCCGCTGCACCACAAAGTAGAATATGTACCACTGGAAGTAAAGAGGCACCAGAGCTGGAGGACCAACTAGAGTGGAGAAATAGATTGCAGAGATGTTCACTGTGCCCTTTTCTCCCAGTGAGACGGACTGGAAAAGGAAGGGGTCGAATGCGTGCTGGCCATATAACTGCAAAAGGGTAGGGTTACTCACTGATGAAGAAGTACTTGTGCTGGTGGTTATAAGGCATGAATTTCTTCTTTTGTACACCAAGCTGTCAAAATAAGCAAATTACTCAGGCCATGAAGATGGCTAAAGACATCTGTGCATACTGTCCTACCTACGCTTTCGAAGACATGCCTACATAGATACCTCCTAACCTTTGAAATAGATGTCCTAGCAAACCATGTCAGCATCCACCATGCCATTGGCCTCATCATCCCCTGGAACTTCAGCCTGTGACAGCTAATAAGTTTTCATCCCTTCCTTGGAGGCATAAGAGGCTGGGCAGTCCCTGGCACCACAGACAGAAACTTAAAAAAAAGAGGGCACAGTTGCCCAAGAGCACTTCAACCAAACTCCACATGAGGCACTGGGAACCTTCTGCTGCCAATACAGAGCTTCAGAAAAAAACCGAAAACCCTCTGATGCTGTTAAAGATGACCGCGTGTAAACTCCCGCCCACTTGCAATAGAGAAATGAGCACCTAGACATTCAACTGGCTCCACAAGAACAGGGGTGAACAGATCATCCTCCCTCTGAGGGTGCTGATTTTTCAGTGTTCACTGTACAAACATTAACAGATCACGCCACCGACTTCCTTGAGGAACTCCATTACATCCCTGTGCATGTCTAAACCAACTCCAAATAGCAGCCTTCCCTTAATTTCAATGCAAATCAGAGCATTTAAGCCAGGTGACACTATGAATTTACATAACTGTTTTCTTAAGCACCGGCTAAAGCCATTAAATTAATTTCAGAGTTGTACCAGCTGTAAAGTCGGACTCCAGATGGGACCCAGTCTGACACCCACTGTCAGACTGAGACCACTGAAATAGCTTCTTTGATCAGTAATTGTGAACTTTCCAGAAAGTCCTGGCTTGTCATCCGCTGCTTCGTTTCCCCAAACACCATAATTAGTCAAAGGGGACCTTGGTAAAGAGGACAACTCGCAATCTTATCTTCACGCAACTGCAAGTCTCTCCTCAGAGAAATGTGAACTTGTGACAAATATTTCATTCTTATTTTAAAACATGGCAAAAAAGAACTTCTATGGAAATTTTAACAAAAATCTCAGAAGTATTGGGAATATCAGGGACAAGTGGAAGGCAAAGTAGCACTGTATAAACTAGCAGGTCAACTCCAAGCATTTTCTGGAGGTACTTCTCATTTTATAGAAGCAGTTTCGGTGTTTTTCTTTAAACCTTCAGAACAAATTTGGAAAATTTCAACCCACAGCAAGAGCGTACTGGGCAAAAAAACATAAAAAACACCAGCTGCAACATTAAGTATATGGAAGCTAGTGGTGCATGAGGATCTTTTTTCTTCTTGTTTTTCAAAGGCCGTTAATGCCAAGCTGCACCCCCTCCAAATTTCCGAAATACTGAGACAGCTCATTGACCAAATCAGCTGGTCACTGGTCTCCAAGCTCTCTGCAGCTTCCCAAATTGGAATCCTGCTTCTGTAGCCTCCCAGCCTTCACCAGGTCTCACCTCTACAGAAAGTGTTTTTCCCAAAGCAAAAAATAAGGGGTGCATGTTAACGTCGGGGTCCTTTCGGAAGCAGTTGGGTTTAGCGTGGTGTTGGAAGTGGAGGTGATTCCACCAGCTGGCTGGTGCTCCCTGCAGGGAAGGGATGAGAAGACAGTGCCGTAAAGAAGTTGTATCTTCTGCCCCGAGTCCTCCCTCCCCAGTAGTTCCTTGCATTTGCCTTCTTCTTACGCTGAGATTGGTTTTGACTGCAGAGCATCCCGGGCAAGGCTCTAGCAGACCCTCTCAGCACTGAATGCCCACCTTCAGATGGCCGATGACGAACTTGTGCACCCAGTGGTTCCACCTGGACTTGCTAAAGACTGAAAGGTGTCCAAAATCGTGTTGGAGCCAGCCAGCCTGGGCCTGGAATTAAGAAAAAAAAACAAAAACAAAAACAAAAACCAGTGCTGCTGGGGAAACACAAGACTCAGGAGGCTCTGCATCTGCAAAGGGCTTTCTCTTCTCCCCCTCCCACGCTCCTCGCAACATACCCCAGGATAGCGAGAGCATTTCCACTCCTAAGACCCAGTCCAAACACTTCTATTTTACTACAGACCAGTGCAGTCCAGACTTTGCCTAATGACTTTTAGTCCCAGATAGCTGTTTTCAAGAGGAAGGAAAAAAATCGTGAAAAAAAAAAAAGTCCCCGAGCTCAGAAACAGCATTTATTCTCTTACAAAACTGCACTGAAATCGGCAACAAAGTCTCCTTTAAGGAGCAGCTTGCTGCTGCCTCCTCCGAGTACTTGTAATTCCAAGGGGATCAGCTGGCCACAGGAGAAATAGCCGGGGCTTTGAGAGCTGCTCTGCCCTCTCCTCTAGCTCCTGCGAGTTCCCATGGGAACACGGTGGCTTGGCCCCTGCACAGTGCCTTGGAGTTCTGGCACGGGGGACCTCAGCAGCGCAGCACGGCTTTCATTGTAGGAAGAAGGCTGGGAATAAGGAGGGCTTTGACGGACTGCGGGAAGGAAAAAGCAGGGCACAGCCGCGTGTCGTGGCACTCTAATTTTGCCCCTGCGGTGGAACCCAGGGAGAAGCAAAATTTTGGGAAGTCCAAGAAGATAAGATTTCTCCTGTGCTTACGGCAATGAGAACCTAAGTCTCAAAGGGCTGGCTTTTGGTGTTTCTGGGGCTTCTTTTTGCCTAGCTGCTTACCTGGACAGTGCCCAGAAGCACCGCAGAGAAGAGGAAAGGCACTGTGGATGCTCCAAAATACCAGATGGTGAGCCAGGCTGCAACATCCAACACCAAGATGTGACAGAGATAGAGGATGAAAAAGGTGTGGTTGGGGTTGAGAAGCCCCATCTTCTCAACGGTTGCACGGAGCTCACGGAAATCTTCTACCAGCTTCTTCTGTAGGGAGACCCAAGAGGTATCTGTTGGTCTGAAAATGCCTCAGGAACTCAAAGAGGAGCTCAGTTTCCCCTTTCAAAGAGCTACAGCGGCAATGGAGAAAAGCTGAGGGTCACCTGGAGACAAATCTTCACTAAAGCTACTAATAACGACATGAAGTCAAGGGGAAGTTTCAGACCGACACAGTGATTCTAGGACATACTATCATTTTATGTGCAGGGAAGTCAGAGCTGCTAAATCGCATACTTTCAACCCAAATATCAAGTTTTTAAGATACTTACATTCTTGCTGGGCTCAAAGCTGGGTTGATCTGGTGCCAGCTCCCCAATCAAGAGTGGGCTCATGTACTTTCTTACTAGTGCCTTGTCCAGATGAAATGCCATGAAAGGATCCTGAAAGACAGATACAGGAACAGGATGAAGGAAAATGATCGTGCCGGTGGCAGCGAAAGAAATATATTTCACGATACCCTGGACTCGGCAGAAGGCAACCCAACTAATGGAGCTGGCTGAACCAGATTTTACTGCCACAAATCTTGCTGCTTCCTTCACACCATAAACGACCATTTGAAGCTGAATTCTCTGTATCATTTTCTAACTGGATGCCGTTAAGTGCAGGTCGCCAAGAAAGATGGGCTCACTCCTCTCTTAGTTCTGACTCCAAAAATTTCATATCCTGTTGAACCTCGAGATACATCATCTCAACCACACGCTCCTCTGTCTCTATTTTGTCTTTACCTCCCCCCTTATTTTTCCTGAGGCCCCATATTCTCAAATGAAAGTCTGACTAGGGAGAAGGGCAAGAAGTTAGCACAAAAACTGAATCACCGAGCTGAATTGGGAAAAATAATGGGACAAGCGGGACACAGACAAGCTTCTGGTGACCCACACCAATCTCTCAAAAGCCCCAGGTTGTTCCAGACACGCTTCCCTGTCAGTCTCTGCTGCCCACCCTGCCACATCTTCCTAGAATACTTTTGTTTTCTTGCTGCCTGCCTCCTGTTCCCCACCTGGTTCCCCTCCATGTTTCTGAAGAGTCCCATGAAAAGGCCTGTATTCATCCTTACCATTCAAAAGATCCCAGTTGGGGAAATCAGTTGCTTTTATCATTTAAACATAATGTCAATCTCCATGGCAACCAGGCAGCCAGGTGAAAGAAGTCACCAGTGACTGTCGTCACTATAGATCCTGTCACTGTATTTAGGCTGCAAAGCCCCTGAGCACCCATGGCATTTTGACACCTTCCTACTGAAGAGCTCCCATTTACCTCCTCTTGCATACTTCTCTCTCTCTGTCCAAATCAGCACGTGCTTTACAATCTCCCTCAGCCTAAGGATGCTTTTTCTTTTCTGAGACAATATTTGCCCACTGCGCACCAGTCTGGAAGCTTCCCGCACCACACGCTGCTCAGCACTATAATTACTAGCTCACGCTTTTAAAACAAATTATCCTTTTGAAAGATCTCTGGTCAAGAAAAGGGTTAAAAAAAAAAGGCAGATGTGGCCAGCTCTGGGTCAGCTCTGTTGTACTTCAGATGTAGGATCCTCTCTACTCAGGCTTCTGTGAATAAAGAAAAAAAAAAGGGGAGCTTACATTTGCATTTTCTCATTGGAAGAGGAAAAAAAAAAAAAACGGGGAGGAGTGTGTGGGCAGACCAGAGGAGGATGGTACCACACGTTTAGACCAATCCTTTCCACAGAGGCTGCAAAACCTGGCAATGCAATCCCAACGGGACGTTAAGGGACCGCTGATTGCACACTTCTACAAATCAGACCACTCCGGTGGCATTCAGCGAACCGAAAGTGCTCTTTCTTTACCTTCCATTTTTCTTCCTGGTTTTGAGGAGCCTGATTCTTTTCATTTCCAGGACAAAACTATTAGAAAAATTGGTGTTTACTTGGCTCGGGCTCCTGAGCGCTCAGCAGTTCAGTTGCACCCAGCAGCGACACGGATGATAAAGCCCGAAGAATGCAGCTGGCTGCAACCCGACCATCCGACTGCGCTCAGCCCTAGGTGCCGGCCGCCGTCACCAACCCGTTTCTGACCACACAACGGCCACGGGGCTTTGGAAACACACGTGCGCGTCCCGACCTCCTGCAGTACGTGCAAATTCACGTATTATCTTCTGCTTCACATTCTATGCGGTGAGGTGAGGGAAAGCACTGGATCTCATATCCCATCCCTTCCGCTTAGGGACAAAACTGGGCTGAAACTTAGCCCACCAAAAACACTCTAGATGTAGCTTCAACCTCCCATACCTGCCCTTGGGGCTAAATATTTACATTTCACAGAATTATAAAGGTTGGAAAAGACCTCTGAGATCATCAAGTCCAACCGCCTCATTTGGAGAAATGCATTTTATTTTGTGCAAGGCATTAGCAGACAAAGGAAGAAAATACACTGGCAAAATTACCCCCCACCCTGTTGCCAGTTCCAACAACGTGTATTCCACTTTGCAACAGTCACGGGCATTCAGGCATGAATGATTTATTTTTACTGAAATATGACTTTCAGTAACATTTTGCACGAGTGCCATCTCTTGGAAACACGCTGCTGGGCTTTTAAAGTTAGAGAAGGCTGAATGCATTCCTCTATTTGCAAAAAGCAAAGCCTATCCGTGCACACACTATGAATCCCTCGGGTGTTTCTGCTCAGGTCTGGCCTGTGGCTGGATGCGTATAAAATCAGCAGTATTTTTATTTACTGTATGCGAGCAAAATTTGCTGCCTTTTCCCCCAGATTTATGGCCGGCTGAGGACACCCTATTTGTGCACATCTCGGTTCTTCTTTAAAAATGTCACCTTGCAAGAAACAGCCACCCGGGAACCGGCACCACCAAGAAACACCCATGCGGGACCCAGGACCAGCAACAAACACCCACCCGGGACCCAGGACCAGCAACAAACGACCGCACGGGCGTCAGGACCGGCAA